TTTTCAACAGGTTAAGGAGAACAAAGTTTCAGTGCCTTAGGCTTCAATAGACCATGAAGCAGCCAAAAGGTTCCACATGAATGGAAATTTATGACTGGTTTCACCTATTCTTTTAAAGGAATGTGATTGTTAGATTTGATAGGAAATATGATATTTTTGATCAATGAATTCCTGTTCAGTGATTGGTCAACATACTGTAGCATCATGTGACCAAACATAACATTGCTATGATGTATCCGTGACGTCATCCATGGTATAGTGCACTATACCATGGATGACGTCATATGCGATCGATCAAGATCAATGTGCTATCGGTCGCAGTGGCGGTACTGTCATCTGCGCTGCTCTCACTGCACTCTACACTACTTCAGTGACAGTTCACATGATTATTATTATTATTATTATTTTCATGACGGTTGGTTTGAAAAATATAAAACAAAAATATCATGCACTATTTCAAGCCATTACCGGTAGTTAAAATTATGGATTCCTGTGCGACAGAAATAATAATAATAATGAACGTTATTTGTATAGCGCATATCGCTAACACAAAGAAAGTCCCTATGCGCTTAGAAAAGAAGGACAAGGGCGGAATAGAAATGAACACTTATGCCTGATACATGAAAATAATTAATTACAACAACAATATGGCACTATTTCCTGCCACCTCGATCCATAATTTCAACTAGAGCCTCTCAGTGCATGGTATATTTGTTTACTATTGTAAATCTGCACTAACAAAACAAATGTTCTGGTAAAATCTTACTTAAATATCAAATAATTTGTCATGTATTTTAACAATTATTGGGAGGTAAGAATTAGTTGCAAGGATATACACCTGTACTATACTTTGGGGGTAAATAATATTGAAAACAAATTCAAGAAAGTTCAGTAATCTTCTTTTTCTCTCATTAGAATCAAACTGCAGTGGATTGAGATGCTATTAATCATGACATGGCATCATTACCGGTCCTTTGCAATCATGAAAAAAACTCACAAATGGAAACTTGTAGAGTGAAACCTGCTTTAGTGACCACCTGTATATAAAGACCACATTTTCCATTTCCCTTGACAATCGTTTCTCATGAAAACCTGTACATAAAGACCACCTGCCTATAAGACCACATTTCTTGCAACCCTTGAGTGGTCTTTATATACAGGTTTCACTATGAAAGGTACACATTACATGTTAAATGATACAAAAGTATATTGTTCAGATGAGCCTTATCATAAGGTCCTATATTAAACTCCTTCTTACAAGACAAGTATTTGAAGTTTATTATTTTGCAGTTCATCTTGACAGATTAGACTTCCCTCAGTGGTTGTAATGGTTGTTCTTAGGCTCCATGTCAGTCATTTGAATCCACATAAAGATATCTTCAATAGAAATACAAATAACTAGATGAGGTATAAAGCTGTTCTGTCTATAGTATATATCATTCCATATGATCCTGTAATGTATAACAACTGATTTTCTACAGATAATTCATCTCAGACTTCTCTTTTTTTCTTCTTTATCTACATCTTTCCTATCTCATTATCCTCATCTTTACTTCCTGTCTGTCTGTCTCTCTCATATGATCAGACTTTGCCCCCCCCCCCCCCTGAATGTGATTCAGCTGAAACTCTTACTCTTTCTTTCCGTTTCTTTTTCTGTCTTCAGATCAATCTGTTTCTTAATCTCATCTTAATCCATCTCAACCTTCCTTTACCTCTCATTGACCATTTATATACAACACACAATGTATGAATTTAATTTTCATCTTATTCCTGCTCTTCCATCTGTCATCCTACAGTATCTGTTGCGTCTTGAGCTCCTAATAATCAACCTTTATTTAAATTAAATACCGGTAGATTGTAATGGTTGTCCTCCTGCTCCTCCTTCTCTCGGAGGCGCGATAGCTCAGTCGGTAGAGCAGTGGTCTCGTAATCCGGTAACCAGGGTTCGAAACCAAGTTGATGCGCTAGTGCCCTTTGGTAAGGCATTAATCCTCATTACCAGGTCCCTCGGAGAGGACCTAAAGCCATCGGCCGTCTGGTTGCTTACTAACAAGCATTTCTGCTTTCTTAGCAGTCAGGCAAAAAATAACCACCACCACCACCACCTAATGACTAGTGTGTCTTGATTTCATCATATTCCATTCTAGTCCTTCTCCTGCCCCTCCCGACCCTCCATCTCTTTTATCTGATCTAGCTCTGCTTTGATCTCCTCTAGTCCTTCTCCGGCCCCTCCAGACCCTCTTGACCCTCTATCTCTTTTATCCGATCTAGCTGAGCTTTGACCTCCTCTGGTATCTCGACCTCCCTCAGGTTCTCCATTCTAGTCCTTCTCCTGCCCCTCCTGTTCCTCTATCTCCTGCCTCTCCATCTCTTTCATCTTATCTAGCTGAGCTTTGACCTCCTCTGGTATCTCTACCTCCCTCATGTTCTCCATTCCTGGCTGTGGTTCCTCCATGATGAGAACCTCAATGACCTTACCACATAGACTCTTCACTGTAGCATCCCTTTCCCAATTATAGTACTCCCTCAGGATAACATACGTTCTTTTCTCCTTTACTATACGCCGACCTTCCTTGGTGGAACAAAGCTGGAAAAGAGAAAAAAAAGTCATCGAGTATATCACATATGTTTTTCATAATGAAGGGACTCTATGACTACTCCTGAGTTTCAACATATTGTATATGTGTGTCCACACATAATAATAATAATAATAATAATAATAATATTCCGCTTATATAGCGCTTAATACAAATGTCTCTAAGCGCTTTTACAGCTTACCTCGGTCATTGGACTCAGTGCTTGCTATTCTATTAGCCAATGAATATCAAGTTAACTTCAATACATAATTTTGTGACAATCTCTTTGATAGCTTTAATAAGCATAATCAATACTAGATGTAAATTCCAACTATTTCCAAGACTAATACATTGTACAAGGCCCAGGAGTGAAGAAATAATAGAAGTGACATAATCGAAAGCAAAAGCCTAAATTAATTCCTAATTTCTTGTGTAATGTGTACATAGGAGCAACTGAGTGATACAATATTCTGAGTCATATCCCAATGATTGGAAATGATGCCATGTCTTTGATTGAAAGGTATCATAATCCTCATGAGAATACGTGTTCCCTGTTTCAAGGACATTGATAGAACATCAAGCTTCCTCACTAACAATATGCTTTGATTCAAACGTACTTCTTAAAATAAGGTTTAAACTTTAATTAGACTACAATATTTGGTTTATAAGATCTACAACAATGGATCAATTGTTATTCATTGACTGAAGAAAACAAATCCTCAATGATTACTTTTTAGGCATAGCAAAACTGCACTAGGAAGTAAGGGGACACATGTATACACCAAATACTTTTTTTTGGGGGGGGGGCGGGATCCTTTTAAGGGGTATGCACACTTAAATATTTTTTTAGTTTAATAATATTTGGGAACTCTTAAACAAAATAAATATCAAGTTTGTTTGCATTTTCGGAGTAGTAAACATTATTTTAATTGAAAAAAAATACAACTTGAGTTAAAGGAGTGCTTACTTGATAGATAGCTTCCAGGAGCATGACACGTATATCAGGATCATCCTCTCTCTTCTTACTCTCCTCAAGATATTGAAGGTCATCTGGTAACCCTTCCATGTCCTCCTCACTCAGCTCCTCAGGACCAGCCAATGGAAGCAACAGATGAGGCAAGATATCCACATGGTCTCCTAGCAACCATTCATGACATGCTGATGGGGTGAAAGGTCAAAGAGATCATGGGATTAAGTACAACCTGAAGCTTTGAAGATAGAATAATAACAATTCATACTTATTTGATGAAGTATAAATACATGTACATTTAGAAGTAGAAGTATGAACCATGATACTCTATAATATCTCAGCACACCTCAGCTTGTAAATGAAAATACACTGTATATATGTAACTGACATCTTTAGCAACAAGTTGTAATTATTGGGGTAATTTCAAACTAAAACACAAAGGGATGACTTGTGAATGTGATAAAGACCTACAGTGGTTTAATTGAAACCTAATGAAGTTGGCTTTTTCCTTTCATTCATATAAACTTTTAATTAATCCTCTAATCATGGCAATAATGTGATACAATTTTCTAAAGCTAAGATCTTACCAGTATCAAAGCAGCAATTCCTCAATACTGTGACCACTCCTCTCCTTCTGACCATTGATAATCTATACTGAGTGAATGGAATCAGTCTCTGAACTACACAGCGCTCTCTGTCCAAGATAAACTCCCTCGCTTCATTCAACTGCGTCAAGTTAGATAATAAGGGTCCAACAAAGTCCAGACTAGAACTCTTCTTGTTATAACCTTCTATACAAAATGATTCAACCAGTTTGTTCATTCCAACATGGTTCTCCTCATGCTCAAGGATTGTCAAAACTCTTGCTGCTCCAGCCTTGTTTCGAGTTAAGTTATTCAGAATCATGCATGCCTGCCTGGCAAATGGACTCGAAGGGTCAACAATTGTCTGCAGCAAATAAGAAATGTACGACAATTCAAGGGCAAGTTTCTCCGCATAGCTGTCCTCAGATGATAAATTGACGACAATGTGATAAGCCTGCTTTTTGTGTGACTCGTCTATCCCTTCCGAACGGACGAGCTCCCCCAGAGTTTCGGCTACAGGCAAGAGCTGTTTCCCGATGGCAAGCCGCCCGACTCTAGTGGCAGTCGTCCCTTCCACATGTACTAGTGCGGTGTTCCTGATGTCCGGTCTGGTTGTCACCGATAGGAATTGAATCAATTCTTCTATTACTGATGCATCTGCCATCGTGGATGTTAATATTGTATGTCATAAATGTGAGAGAAACAACAAATTTCTTGCATGTGAGCAGTCTAGTCACACGTATACCTTTAGTCACATGTGTGTAAGATAAGGATTATTTCTTAGATTTTTGACAGGAGTTTTATCTTAATCGACAATTCACTGAACGAGCGTATAAGTTCAAAGCACGCCGAGTTGTACAAAAACGACTGCAAAAGTTAGTCTTATCTTTTATTAGCATTTCGTTTCCGGTAGCGTAACTGCAATGATTCAAGTGGAAAATACTTCTTTGTGACTGATTTTGTTACCCATTACTGTGTGTGAAGAATTATTTGAATCACTTTGTGTACTGCATTTGAGTAATGCCAGCATTTAATCACGGTTTTAGAGCTGTTAAGCTCATATTCGGCATTTCAGGCGGGGTTGCGTTTGGAGCAGCTGCAGTTGGATATTCTCGCCGAGAGCGCGATGGATTCCTCCCCACAGCTCTGGCGGCGTGGACTACCAACCACAACCCCAGTGTGAGATGGGATACAAACTGGGATAAGTGAGTCTTCAGTTCTTGAATCGTTCCTAGCTCCTGCTCCCCCCACCCCTCACAAAAAAAAAGGGGGGGGGGGATAAAAGATAGGTATCTAGAGATAGAAAATCTAATTAGACTTGTTATTTCTTAATTCATTTTTAAAACTTTTTAGTGAAAAAGAGATCCAAGAAAAGGCAAGATTCAGGAACTTAGTACTGGTACTGGTAGGCCTATTTATCTATTTGTCATTAGGATATTTATAAAGAAGATTTAGGAGTAATGAATGAATAGGGGCATTAAGGCATCTAAACAAAGCCCCTCCCCTTTATTTATGGCTTTAAGAAATAACGGTCAATATTCAGTAGTTGACGTCTTAACCCACCTGACTCTTCATGCAATCAGCACAACAAATAAGTAGATAAAGATTTACCTACACACTATGTACAGAAATATAAAGTTCTATAGATCTCAAGTCAGTTTCACATTAAATGAATATTTGGCATTGTGAAGTTTTCTTCATTGAAATTCAGTTTTTCCAAATGTTGAGCTACCAAATCATAAGCCTTACTAGATTCTAGATAACGATAATACTTTTACAAAATGTTAAATGAGTGTATTATTCATTTCATTTCCCAACATTTATCCTTTGAAAGATTTGGCTTATTTGAATTTGAAATATTTCTAGAATCTGTATCTTTGATTAATGATTACATGTACCTTGATTTACCATTTCTTTATGAAACGTCCTTTATGCCAGGAGAGATCCAGAAAGCTTGATAAATCCATCTAGGACTGAGGTCGACTCTAAGGATCCAACTACCAAACTTACCGGAGTGAAACCTACAGCAACCAGGCATCTAATCCTCATCAGACATGGGCAGTATAATACAGACGGAATCACTGATGATGAGAGGATACTAACTGCACTTGGTAGGTACTTCTTCTTACTAAGTTAAGCGTATAAGGTTTGTTCAGATATGATGCAACAAAACTGAAGTGTGTGTGATTCGCTTCATAGTATCTTATAACACAGAGTCCTTTTTGCCTGCAGTTGTCATTCATTTTCACTGGGAAAAAAATGCAACTGCTTTTTTGCGCAGTTTACTGTTTCATATCTGAACAAGCCTTCAGCCTAACTTAGCTTAGGTTTAGAGAAGGAGAATGGCATGTTCATGTAACAGTCTGTAGAGGGAATCGTTAATGTGGCTCATAGTAGGGGAGGAGTGTGATCTTTATAATACACATCTGTAAACAATTGTATTCAACAGTATAAAAGACCAAACTTTTTGATGTTGATTGATTCAAGTATCCAGGTTGTGTGTCTCTTGAAATTCAAATAGTTAGCTCTGACATTTTGCAGATTCCAAAGATCTTAAATGTACATACATGCCAAATTTTGTGGGATTTTTTTTTTGATGGTGCAATTTACATCCGATTCTTTCAGGATAAATATTATTAAATGTTTCAGGTAGGGAACAAGCTGCAATGACAGGACAGCGTCTGAAGGCACTGAACCATCCCTACACCACCATCATTAACTCCACTATGGCTAGAGCTATAGAGACTGCAGACATCATCAGTGCACAGATACCGGATATACCTCGTGAAACATACTGTGAACTCCTGAGAGAAGGTGCTCCTATCCCTCCTGAACCACCAGTAGGTCATTGGAAACCTGAAGTAAAGGTAAGATCGTGACTGTATCTTCCCTCAATTTTACTTGTCCTTGCATCATTACAAATTCCACTCAAGAAACGTGAATAGAGGTGGGATAGATTTGATGAGAAAACTTCTAGTGTGATTATTGAATTAAAAGTTAAGAGGCAGAAGACAAGAAAAAGTGGGAAAGTGAAGAAGGAGAGTTCAAGGAGATTTATCCATACTGAAACAGAGACTCTATCAACATGTTTATTTTAGGCTCCATTAGTACCTACTTCATGGAAGTTGATTGTCAAAGAGAACTCCAAACTAATGATTTTTAAGCAAGCTTTAATTGCCTCATGTACAGGTACATGTTTGACTGGATGAGGCGACTATGAAGCAAGAATTAATCTACCAATGGTTCTAAACTGTTCAGCTTTGAAATGAGGATTTTTGTAACACAGAGATGTTCTTTTAAAGATTTTTCTTCTCTTTCTAATCTGTTTTTCCTACTCATTTCATTTCTGTAAATCTCCATCATAACTTCACAACGTACATTGTGACCATTTGATGTACGGTATATGTAATCTTTTGGGGAAAAAAAATCTGTTGTGAAACTTATCCTTGTTTAAATCTTTCATTCCCTTGTATTACAACATTACTTTTATGTTTGAGATGTTTGTTGTACATGTTTATGTAATGTATCCCTCTTATGTTTGCACATAAGAGAGAGAGAGGGAGGGAGGGAGAGAGAGAGAGAGAGAGAGAGAGAGAGAGAGAGAGAGAGAGAGGGGGAGAGAGAGAGGGAGAGAGAGAGGGGAGAGAGAGAGAGAGAGAGTGAGAGAGAGAGAGGGGGAAAGGAAGGTTCCTTCTAGGTTAGTAGCTTATGATATCTTTTAGGATGTTCTTGTGTTGCTAACACTTTTCTATCTGTCTGCTCTGTTCTCCTTTAACACTCCCTTGCATCTTTCTGACCCCTCATCTTGGCCTTCTCTAGCAGTTCTATGAGGATGGAGCTCGTATTGAGGCTGCTTTTAGGAAATACTTTCACAGAGCTGACCCTGCTCAAACCGAGAATAGCTTTGAGGTCATTGTATGTCATGCTAATGTCATCAGATACTTTGTATGCAGGTAAGAAGAGTGTACCTACTTGTGAGTGACTCCATGTGTGTTCACAGATTTTTATGACCTGAATGCTTCATATTTCATTCTTAACACTGGTTGAATTGCAGCAAAACAAGCAGACTTAAATCTGACATCCTAGAGCTCTTCTTCTTGCTCTCGTCCTAGTAAATCGCAAGACTGAATAGAAAACTCAAGTCAGTCAATACAAGCAGAAGCTAAAGAAAGAAAGTGTGTTAAAAATTAATGGGCTGTGTTTGGCTTTGGGAAAGTAGATGTAAATCCAGCCATTTAATGACAATGGGCTATAGCAATGCTAGCCAGAATAAGACAAGAGTCCGTACTAGCTCTTTTGTCTAGACTAGAAGCCAATTAATTTATTGATGCTTTGCTCCTTTATCCTCCGCTTACATTGATTGATTTTGGCTTTCTGTTCATTCTTGCGATGGATCCAATTTTGTAGTACAGGTTGAACATCTAACTTAAACCTAGGATTCAGCAGTATATACAAATTAACCCTTAAATTAATCTTAAATCCATTTTGCACTGTAATCCTATGATATCCTAGGATAGGATTAACATTCTTTGAGAAATAATTCTTACAGTTTAAAATATCACATAAAAAAACAATGCATTGGAATATATACATGTATGCAACAAATATAGATTTGTATTGATAGATAAATGTTTTTTACACAGCACAGATCTATGTTTTATGGTCGATATGTAATAGATTATCTCATATTATTTAATATACATACCGACATTATATTTCAGGTGCTTTTTTATCAAAAGACTAAATATCTGTAATTTGTAGAAATGATTAATGATAGTAACAAACTCTTTTTTTTATTATTTCTTCCATCACAGAGCTATGCAGTTTCCACCCGAGGCATGGCTTCGTATGAGTTTATATCATGGCAGTATAACTTGGGTTTCAATACGCCCCAGTGGACGAGTCTCACTAAGAGCTTTAGGTGATGCAGGATTCATGCCTGCTAACAAGGTCTCCGTTTCATAATACTCATCACTGCCAGGTCAGATACCTTAGGATCTTCATTCGGGTGGTATTCCATATCGTTTGTTCAGAGCCAGAAGAATTTTAATTCTGTAAACATAGGTTTATGCCCTTTTGAATGTTAGATGACATGCCAGATCATGAGAAACTATTGAAATAATAGCAATTCATTTGTGTGTTCTATATTGTAAAGCATTACTTTTGTATGCTTAGTTGATAGGGAGACTATGCCGTACCAGATTACATGTACAAATAGTAAGTGTATACTTTTTTTGTGTGAATTAAAACAAAAAAACTACCTGAAGTCTTTGGCAGATTTAAGATAAACTCACTGAACGCCATGAATGATTACCCATTAGTAGACGCCTGGCATTGAATTACCTCATTTAAAAAGTTGTATGTCAAAAGAAATTAGCCAAAATACTTGCATAAGCTTGATGCTAATATCAAATACCAAACCTGCCTATATTGTGACACTGAACTTTATGAAGTATGCCAATTGTGCTTTTAAATGAACAAGAGTACTGGATAGTATTGTGCTCCATATCTCGACACATGTGCATTCATCTCTTTGTATTGTCAAGAATTTGTTCACTTCAAGTTATCAATGCCATGTAGGTATATAAGTAATTACAGTACATCTAATAATCCCTAAAATTTTGTATAGCTTTCTTCAACGTGTAAGAACAATGCTTTCTTCCGTTCTTTCGTAACAAATTTGGTTTCCAATCGATAACTTCAGTAATGTTTGACGGATTTTAATTAAAGACCGTCACCACTACTGGGCCAGAAGAGCCATCGAGGTCACTGTGACAGGTGGCTATCTCATTAACTCAGCTCTCATTTAACATAAGAAAAAGAGGATCATGGATCAGTTTTTTATATAGAGGGAGCAAGTAGCTACAAGTATGGCAGTGTGCCTTTAAATTTGATATGAAGGTACATGATATCAAAATACAGGCTAAGTTTGATTTCGGCATAGGGTATGTAGGTCAAAGGTCATAGCTCATTAAATATGCGAATCTGGTTTGCATTCAATAACTTAGGTAATGTTTGACGAATTTTAATGAAATTTAATATGAAGGTACATGGTATCAAAATACATGTACAGCCTAAGTTCAATTTCCGAGTATGTAGGTGAAAGGTCGTAGCTCATTAAATATGCAAAAACACCTAATTATATTTGTAAAAATGTGGTTAACTTCCTTGCCTAGTAATATTATAGTATAGTCCAATGGAGGTAACTTGTTCTGACGTATACAGGCCATTTGTACCCTACATGGGGATGCTACGCTTTGCATTGACTTGTTTCCTATTGATCCTATGCATATTTTGTTGTCGCTATTAACCTAAATGCTGACTTAAATGTTAGATGCTGCTTATAAGATTGGCTTGCATGTATCAACTTTAAGGTTATTCAAAAGATTTAGACTAATGCATGCATACATGTACTACAAAAATGGGATGCATGCACCATTTTCCTGATAAGAATACTGGGGCACCTAGCCAATAAGTATTTAAGATACTAACAGTTCCCAGAATACTACATGTCTCATAGTACGATCAGGATGTTGTTATAGATTCACTGCATGTATTCTCAACACTTTATAATATTGATGTGTCATAATATCAAATCTGTAAGAGAATATATATATATATATATATTTGGGAGTAGGCAAAAGCTGTTACATGTAATGTGTTAAAGAATAATGTTGCCGTATTGACTTTGTGTGTTTGTTTGATTGTAAACTTTGAAAGTTCCTTGACATTTAATATTATTCTATTAATAAATTGAGCCTTGGATGTCTCTTACTACTTAGAAATCAACCAGAAGATGAGTGACAAGGCTTATGAGAAAGCATGTTTATATAGTGCTGGCAACCTAATCATAACGGATGGACAAACTGTTATTTTAAATGTGAGATGTATTCATCTGTATCATGAATGTGTAGCAAAACTCAGTTTTATACTTAGCTGTGTTAAGGTCTGCATGTATTGTGAAAGGTGTCAGCAAATAGTAATATGGAAGAAATTTCTGTATTTCAGGAATTAAAAAACAAAAAGATGTGGTTGCTAACTTGATATCTTGGTTTATGGTAGATGAACCCTTGTGTAATATCTAATCAGTCAACTTGTACAAATGAGCTATTTCTTTACGTAGTCATTTGCCTTAACTTCTTTTATTATGCATACATAGGCCTCGATGCTACGGGTGTGAATATCGTTGAAACCAGCTGAGCAAAGCTAAATGTTAGATGAGATTGTGCTTTACATCATCTACAATACATTGCAGGCCAACAAAATAATTTTTACTTCAGAGTATATTTATGATTATGTGACCAATAAAAAAAACATCTGAAAAATAATCTTTGCCTGCTTGTGGCAATTTATTTGTGTACTTTGGATCTTGGTGGTGGGATTAGTGATACATATCGAGGGGTCAGTGACACAAAGACGTAACTCCATTTTTGCCATTTTGAGAAAAAGAGGTTTAAAGATTAAAGAACCACTTGGGTCTTAAGGAGTTAAGTCTATGTTTACTAGCCATTGACTTCAATTGGGTTTCTTTGTCTTTCCTGGAAAACCCACATTTTTCTGAACATTTTTATATCAAATACTCATTTTGACAAAACATGGAGTTGCGTCTTTGAGGCACTGAACCCTCAATATAGGGCTCTCTGAATCAACAGGAAGTAGGACCAATGGTATAACCATGGACTTATTACGGATGGACATTCATCGTTTTCTTAACGAATTCATTGTGATTGTCTCCGTCAATGTCGTCTCAATAACATTCCCTACATGTTTCTTCACTTTGATCTCATGATGGTCACCGCCAAGAAGCCGGGACAGAATCAAGATAGTGATTTTACACATGTTAATCTACTTGCGCAGAAGATAATAACTCGCCTAAGTCATGGAAAATAGATGTGCAGATTTGGCTTATAATCCGAAATTGTTGTTCCGTGTACTGTACATGTATTTTTTTGAAAAACATGTTGATATTAACAGATGGAGCTTATTTTTTGATTTTTTGGTTGTGATTTAAAATCCTGTTTCCCCGTATTTCCTCATAATATTCCAGAGCTACAACGCACAGGGCTGATACAGATCATGGCCTTCTAATTGTTTTATAAGGTCATAGGTGTGTGCGAAAGTTTGCGAATCAGTAATAATACATTTCATTTCACCAAAATCGTCTGCTTTTCAACTTTGCTGCTCCCTATTGGGGATGCTTTTATTTAAGACACACTCTTACAGAGCACACCATCCAAACAAAACCCAAGAGAGGGAAACTGCTCCTTTGTCAATGACCGAAAATGCTTACGCAGTCGTTATTGTTAAAACAGATGAATTTTATCATTAAGATGCACATAATCAGAAGGCGGTGACTATCATTTGATCAAAGAAAGAATCATGTTGAATGTCCATCTGTAATAGGTCTATGGTATAACACATTCAGATATGATCCGTTCAATGAAGACAATATGTATGCTATCAAACAACACGGACAAGAATAAACTGCGTAACACAGACAGACTTTCATTTTAAATAATTTTCTTATTTTTTTCTTTCTTTTACATTTGTATAAATAATAAGAATGAGACATCTTCATACCATTTAAAATAATAAAAACATGCATCTATTCATACATTTACATAAACAAGAGTCACTGCTCTGCAAGATTTTTTCTCATTTAGAACACTTGTTACCAGCATGCAACTACATGTATTAGAGAAATTAAAATATACAATACATGTAACATAAATTCTTGTCTGTACCATCACTCTGCTTGGTGTTTTGTCGTTGAAATTACCATGTGCTTTAATAGCAGAAGAGAATGATTGGATGCATGGAAACTGAACTATTTCAAGTTTTCGTCTCCTTTGATTAATCCAAACAACACATTCAAAACATACACCATACACAATCTACATCTACATTGGCACTTAATAGTCTTCTCTTAATATTTCTTTATCTTTTCAACACCAATAATATAAATGGTAAAACTTGATCAAATCTATGTTGGTGAACTTCTGCTGGACACATGATGATATCAAAAGAAATAAAACAAATTTAAAGTTCTTAGAAACTCAACAGCTAAAATCAGCATCATGATTCCAAAATTCAGAATTACCTGTAATATTTATAATAAAATGCTCTCTCTCCTTTTCTCTCCTGCTCTTTTATTTCTTCATTTTCTAAATGCAAACATTACTTTACAAAAGCTGATTCAAAAGGCCTGATCAAGGCTAAATTAGTGAATCATGTTGTCAATGATTAGGTGTTTGAACTGCTAGAATACTTACGTTATCAAACAAACAGTAGAGTTCCAGAGTAAAAAAGTTGAGTTAAAAACAATGAAAGAGCGGGTACCATCCAACCCAAAACACAGGAACATGTAGTGTCTGCATTCTTGTGTTTGGTTCAGGATGATCCTTTTCCTCTTTCATTAGATCTACCGGTACTCAGATTTGTTTAATTAGTATTCTAGCTGTAGAGAAAAAACAAATTGGCTATATTTCAAAATTACTTTCCCCAATAAATAAAAGTTATTTATTATACATTTTTCATTCCTCTATTTCTAGCCCATTCTTAATCTGAATATTGAAACAAATGACATGAATAGCATACTTAATAATTCAACAATTTGACAATATTGCATTTCTATTGTGTGATTTACATGACTTTGAATAAGATCATGCTACAGCAAATTGGTATGATGAAAATGTATGCCATTTCAAGACATCAGAAATACAGTCAGCCCTTTTTGTTTCATTGAAAATACTTGAGTACCATGTATAATGTTCAACTAAATTACTGTATAAAAGTGTGATAGTGATATTTATAACCATGAGATTTTAAAATCTCATTTATACATTGAGTTGAACATGGTCCTAATAGAGGGAGCCCTTCAATCCTTCCTGACACAGCTCTGGAATAGGTGCTCTTGAGCACGGCATCAGAATGATCTTGCACCAGTCGTCCTACAAATCATGATGACTGACCCTTTGTGACCCTATTGATGATGACATTCCAACCACTTCTATCCTGGGCATAGCGATTAGCTGCGCAGATGTTCATGCCATTCATCTCTTTTATTCCATCAGCCCATCAAACTCTTGGCCTACTACGTTTTTGTTGACCCTTAACATGACCTTGGGTAATGATCTTCTCCAGGTTGTCACCTCCTCTTCTAGAAATGTGCTCAAAATACTGCAAGTTGTTCTTATCTATCTTTTGGTATAGGGTGACCTTCGCTTTAATTGCACCAGGGTCTGTGTACTATTCTTGATAAAGTAAGTACAAGTCCCCCAACTTGCTTGGAAAGTATCAAAATGTAGATGAGCCATGATAAGGGCAGATTTCATTCAGGAATGCGCTAAAAAACATTCAGCTTTGAACTGGGAGGTAGTTTACTTGTGATATCTCTGCACACACTCTCTCTCTCTCTGCTGGTGTGTTAGACATAATTTAATGATTTATGCAGAACACATAATGGGGATTTGAAAGCTGGTCTCACACCCCAGAGGAGCTAAGTTGCAGAAAGGTTTCATCTGGATATCACAATCCGTTTCAGGAGAACTGCTACAGTCTTTGCTTGAATAACGTTCATTCATATTACTAATATATGCTGGACGTCGTTAGGGCCTACCTGGTCCACTGCCCTCGTGTGTTGCAGGCATGCCAGGGTGCATCGGATCTTGACGAGCCTGTGATACAGTAAGAAGAGAAACAGGCAATTTAAAGATTTCCACTTACAATACTAACAATAACACTTTTTGTTCTTAGTAGAGGTATTGTGGTCGAGTGGATACGTCGCCGGACTGTCGATCACAAGGTCCGCGGTTCGAGTCCCGCCACTGCACTAATGTCCTTTGGCAAGACATTGATCTACATTTGCCATACTCCACCCAGGTGAAGTAAATGGGTTCCTGGTAGGAATTTATTCCTTGAAACGCAGCGCGCGTAACAGCTGCACTGCTAAAGCCAGGGTAATTATGCTGCATTATTGTAGAGCGCTTAGAGACTTCTGACAAAGTAAGTGTTAGGCGCTATATAAGCACTGTAATTATTATTATTATAAATATAAAATAATCATGTATATTTCATATGCTTGGTTGCACATGAAAGAGCTATTAAACAAAAAACATACAAGCACATTTTAACACATCTTAGCATCCCCCTCCCCCCCAAAAAAAGATTTAAACTTTAAAGAGTGTGTTTTATTGAGTGTTTCTCAACTATAGTAAAATCATTCACCTCAAAGATTACATGCAATATCATTTAATACCAACAGTACCATTGTAATATGTCCTGTGCACATCAGTAAAACTCGTAACAATCTATGAGCATGATTTTAGCTGTAAATATCCAAAGACATACCCAGAAAGCAAACTTTCTTTATATGCTAAGTATAGGTAAGAGGACAAACATGAAATCAAGTTTACCTTCTTCTTTTTCTTCTTCTTGTCTCTCTTTTTCTTCTCTCCATCTTGGTCTCCGTGTTTCTTGGTTTTCTTATGTTTCTTCTCATGGCCATTGTCTCCTCCAGCTTCAGCTCCTATTATAAGAGAAACAAGATTCCAAGGTTACACTTCATTCAGAAACAAGTATGAGATTCCAAGGTTACACTTCATTCTTAGTAAGAGAAACAAGTATGAGATACCAAGGTTACACTCCATTCTTAGATTTCATTCCAAGACTCTCTCCACCTCTACACTTGACATATCTGACTCTGACACCTTTCTCATTCATATGAAACAAAAATGTGTCTAGTCTAATTCTTTTTATTATAGTTTTACTATGAGGCGCCGTTTGTAAAACAATTATATAGACAAATTATATGTTATATAATCATTATTTAACAAATAATAACCATTATTTACATATAATGCATGAAAATGTACGTTTTTATTTGTATATAATTCTTAACACATTTTTATTATTTATAAATAATGACAAAGAACTTTGCATTATTTATATATAATTGCCATTATTTATAAATAATCACAATTCACACTTTCATTATTTATATATAATGAAAAGCATATTTCCATTATATAATATATAATGAAAAGCACATTTCCATTATATAATATATAATGAAAAGCCATTTCCATTATATAATATATAATTAAAAGCGTATTTCCATTATATAATATATAATGAAACACACATTTCCATTATATAATAAATAATGAAAAGCCTATTTCCATTATATAATATATAATGAAAGCACATTTCCATTATATAATATATAATGAAAAGTGTATTTCCATTATATAATATATAATGAAAAGCACATTCCATTATATAATATATAATGAAAAGCACATTTCAATTATATAATATATAATGAGAGGCGTATTTCCATTATATAATATATAATGAAAAGCACATTTCCATTATATAATATATAATGAACAGCGCATTTCCATTATATAATATATAATGAAAAGCGCATTTCCATTATATATTAAATAACGATTGTGTATGCAAATGTCAATGGTTGGTAACGCCCATAATATGAATATTCATGAGCTTGACTGATATTATTATCCTCTATTCCAGGCACCTTTCCATTTTGTGTTCTTTGTGCATTCTTATCAGAAATCCTACGTGCGGTAAATAAGTCTCTGTATCACTATTCTCCTTCTTATTTGTATGCAGATTTGGTTATAATAATTGATAACTGTAATCATCCTCATTATTTTAATAAGAAATTTTTCTATCTGTGATGGAAGTTTTTATGTACGATTGCCTGATCTGAAGACAAGACTTTCGCTGCATGCATATTTAATGTATGACGTCACCCACACAGAGTGAGAGCTCGAGGTTTTCTTTGAAAGTTTGATGGTGAGTACAGCTGTAATTACGTTCAAATCTCGTAAATTGAATCATATTTATAAACATATCTGCTGTAGGTATGAATCTGCTGATATGTCTGTACATTATGAAGTGGTTTAAAATGGTTATATCTGATGAATTTAGGAGTAATCTACACTCGAACTTTTGATTCGTTATTTATCGTCGTGAGAAATATTGCAGCTCGATTGCCATCGTCACTCCTTGATCCTTGGCCCAAACTTTCGGGCGAGACCCTCTCTGAAAATTAGATACGAGTATAGGGTCTATAGGCAGATCACTTCACTAGCGCTAGCTGCATCAATGATCCAAGCTTTTTGTTACTTTTAGGTCCAACTGTTGAAAAACTACTTTCATAGTTAGGTCAGAAGAAAGTTAATAGCTAACACTAAAAAGCATGGTCACAGTTGACATGAGTTGTGAACAAGCGCCAAAATTTGGACCAGATACCGAGATAGACGAGTACGAGAGTAGGCCTAGAAAATTTGAGGCCTAGGCCTACAGACCAGTAATTAATTGGACTACCTGTGAACAGGCGCGGATCCAGGATTTCTTAGTGGGGGGGGGGGGGGCCCAAATTTGAAATTATGCAAGCCAAATATTGGTACATAATAGTGACACCGGCAGTAGCGAAATGAGCAAAAACCGGAGGGGGGGGGGGGGGGGGTAGACAAAAAAATCTGCACCACCCCACTCTTACATGCAGGTTCCGCTAGACGTTTCTCTATAAAAGTAGGTGGGGGGGGGGGGAGGTATTTACGATCGAGTAGAGCGTTGTGAAATTGGCGTGGTGTCTAAGGGCGAAGAACCTGCGGGGGACAAGGGGTGGAACCCCCAGAAGCTCAGGGGTATTGGCATTTAATTGCGGTCAGATGAGCATATCAGCATACCTTATTTGTGACACTGGCAGGACACTAATTGGCGTCACTATTCTTTCTTTCTTTATGAATTTGCCATTGTCCCACAAACGCATTAAAAAGTATAATTTATTAAACATTGAGGAAAAATCTCAGAAAATTATGTCATTTCAGCAACATTTGTAAATCACCGGTAATCACCGGTATCGAATTAGAAATAAACCACGTTTGAATTATATTTGGGGGCCATCTGTCAACCCCCCCCCCCAAGTCCCCTTCCCCATCAGTACGCCAGTGCCCCCCCCCCCCCGATCTACACGTAACTGATCTCCCCTACCTTTCTTCTTTCTCTTTTTTTCTTTCCCTTTCTCTCCTATTTCCCTTTCCTTTCCCTTCCTACTCTCTGTTTTAGGTTTGCTAGGGGGAGGCAAGGGCCTTTTGGCCCCCCCTCCCAGATCCACACATTGTTGGCGGGATTAATCGCAACTGTTCTCCTCTTCTTATCACCCTTTTCTTTTCTTCTTCCTCTTTTTTGTTCCCTTTTAGCTCTCCTCTATCCCTTTCCCTTCCTTCTCCTCTTTTTTTTTTTGGGGGGGGGGGGGGAGGGAGGAGGAGGCAAGGGCCTTTGCCCCCCCCCCCCGAACTACAACTTGTTGGCGGGAAAATTGCAACTGATTTCCCCCTTCTTTTCTTCTTCCTCTTTTTTCCTTCTCTTTATCCCCTCTTTACTTTTTTTCTTTCCCTTTCCTTTCTTCTCTTTTATTTTTTGATGGGGGGAGGGGGAGAGGTTACAGCTGGGAGGCAAGGCTCTTTCGGCCCCCCGATCTCCTTCTTTTCCCCCTTTTCTTTTCCTCTTCCTCTTCTTTCTTTCCCTTTCTCTCCTTTTTCCTTCCCTTTCTCTCCTTTTCCCCTTCTTTTCCTTCTTTTCCTTCTCTCTCTCTCTCTCTCTTTTTATTTTTTGCGGGTGGGGGGGGGGGGGGGGCGGCCCCCCTGGATCCGTGCCTGCCTGTGAATGTGATACTCGTAGTCGTACAGAGTCTCATAGCTGTCTAACAAATTAAAACATGATCCCCCCAAATTAGACTACACTGTATACAGGCGTACGTATAGTGGTGCCTGTGTGTTTCTTAAATTCTTTGTTGGCTTAGCCTAATTTGCCTCTGCTCTAGGCTCTATCTTTGAATTTTTGTTTGCTGTAACCACGATTAAGTTTTCTCTGTCATATATAGATCTAGGTCCATATCTATTTTGCGTTTTTTCAATTTGATAGAATGAACAGTTACGAGACATGCATCTAGATCATCTAGAGACTGTAGATCAACTAGATCTGGATCAAGGAATTGAATATAAATTTCAATGTTAGATAATGAAGGAGGGCTTTTTTGGTAAAGAGAAAATCCAAAAGAGAACAGTTAATTCTGCAAATGCTCATCAATGTTTTAATGATCATGCTCATTTCCTTTTATTCTAAGAATTAAACCCCCCCCCCTCTCTTTTACAGGAAAATGTACAGAGACTTGTCGCAGTTAATGCAGTACCAAATGCTTGCTTTCTTGGAGTATGTGCTTGAAACAAGAATGTCCTGGAGAAAACAGACCACCACAAGAGAAGGTAAACATATTTACTTTTGATCTAACTTGATCTGTTTAGTTTTTTTCAAGTAAAACAAAATTTTGAATAGGTGAGGTCAAGGTCAAACTGAAGGGGATGCAAAGGGCTGGTTTGAGAAGTATGTATTCATGGGATGGCTATGTATGAATCCACATGTCTACTAACACGTTGCTGAAGTGTTTCTCTTTTTAGAATTAACATTTTTAAGCTCATGTGCGGGGGGAAAGGGGGGGGGGTCCAATACATGAAAAGGAACGACAAGCAAAAAAAACAAAAAAAACAATTGACCTTCAAATTTTGCTGAAAAAGTAAACGTTAAAGACAACTAAAATATTAAATAGTGCTATTTATTTCAAATTTGGTTAATATTTATTGAATTGTTTATAATTCTGTTCCAGGGATTGAGAAGGAGGGCTTCCTGTTGACAGATCAGGGGGTGCCTTGAGGTTCCACTCTTGATGTTCTGCCCCTTACCTGAAAGCGATGGCCTCTTGTGCCTGACATATTAGGAGCAAAGCACAATGGACCGGTAATTAATAATGAATATTACAATGGTTTTTTTAAAATCTGGTAAAGAAACAGATAAAGTCATAGCAAGTGAGCCTGTCATGGCATTTCGAGTGACCAAACATTTGCTCCTGCAACGACTGCTCAAGGCTTTATTTTTCAAATGTGTAGGGTTAGGCCGAGGGTTGCAATTGGGATTGAGGTTAGGTATAGGGTAAGGTCTAGTGTTGGATCCCGGGATGAAGTTAAGTATTTGGATAATAGTGTAGGAAATTGATGTTGAGCAAATGTCTTGAGGAACAAGTGTCGTACAATCAGATTTTCCAGGTGCTGGTGGAGCTGTATGTATTGATACTCATCATTGGCAGTTTAAAAATCTTCCTTTGTATTAGTAAACTAAAAATACGCTGACCCCCAGTTTGTGAAACGTGTATCTGATTTTTACGACCTGCTCTATTGTTTAGTGGTTATGTTGTAACACAAAATGAATTCTTAATCTTAATCCTGGATCCATAGCTAAACGTAATATTAACCCTAAAGCTAATCTAAAACCCTATCACAACTTGAGCAATAACCATATCTTGATGAAATAAAGCTTGTGTTAAGCATTGGCAGACCCAAAGTCGGGTTATCCTAAATTCCTTTCTACATACTGCTATTGTACAAAGTTGATATTTAAGTACATCCCATTGCAAGTTCTAAAATTTCTGTTAAAACCTTACCCTGCTGCAAGATGATAGTGTGTGAAGTAAGTTGGCTCATAGTAGAGCATGAATTATTACCTGCAATTCTCAACCAATACACCCTTGCCACCTGCAATCCATTTTACTTTCATAATATATTCTTTAAACAACATTAACTGAAGTTCAAAATTTTGATTAGTTATAAAAAAAGGCTACAAAGAATTGTATTTTTTTTCACACTCGTATAATAGAGGGGGAGGGGGGGGGGGCAGGCTAGCAGTACAACATCAAATTATCTTATATGATTATATCCTGCAAGTGTGATAAAGAAAAATATGTTTGTGTACTAAAAGTGAAACAAAAACAAATCACTGGAAACTTTTGGTTGTTAATAACTCAAAAGTTACACTCAAATCAAAACGAGGTTTTCAAAGCTTAAAGTTTAAGGATGTAAATTCTATGCCATTTCTATGAATGCTAATTGCTATTCTTAAAGCCCCACTGTCCTACTTGCTCTCTCTATATAGAAAACTTCCCCAATCGGTGTCTGTTGGTCCCCCATGATCCTCTCTTATGTTAGTTGAGAGCTGAGTTGATGAGATAGCCACCTGTCAGTGACCTGGCTGGGTGGTCTAATCCCTTCTGGCCCAGTAGTATTGACGGTCTTTAAAACAATGGTCGGAATGTTTGATTAGATCTTTTACTCAGACATGTAGTATATTAGTAATAAAATACATGTTTGGCAATATGGTATTTCATTTCAGACCATAATGAGAAGTAATATTTTAATCTGGGATCTCTCGTTGGCACAGAAAATAAGGAATGTACTCCTGTTGAGCAAACAGTGAATTTATATAAAACTAATAGCCCTTTGAAGATTACTAGAAGAAGAAAAACAACAAGAAAGAAGAAAAAGAAATATACTTGTGATGTCAGCTTTAGATCTTAAAGTGCTTGTAACAATATTGGATTTTTTTTTTCTTCTTTCAATTAACATTTTATTCATGAACAGCTGGCTTATTGGAATTGGTTACAAAGATACAAGTGGACTTGTCGTAGTTGCTGAAGAGGAGCAGTCAGCACAAGGAGCGTGTGCCTCCAAAACGACGTGGGAACTTCTCCCAAGTTCATCTCAAATCACAAGGCTCTTCAGGAATCAAGATGTAACAATGGAGGTTGAGAAGGAGTTTGCGACCCTCCAGATTTGGACTACTCGCTATATACATTCTCAAACAATGGATTGTAGCACTTCTGCACAAAACTCAACAAGTCATGATTGAGGAAAACGCAACAAATACTCAGTTGAGCATTGATTTATGTGACTGGTATTAGGGTAGGTTTCAGCTTGGTAATTTTATATAAACTATGTCCCAAAAGAACCTCGTTGGTCCTTATGGTTCCACGCCACAAGCTGCTCCCTCCCCTGTTTCGGTATACCGAACCCAGACTATCAAGGGATCAAATGAATTAAAATCCACACTTGATTACAAATGAATTGATCTTTTGAATATTGTCATCATTTCAGGGTGGTTTTGGTTACGGGTTAGTGTGAGCTTTCTGTGCGTAAAATTGAGGGTACTTCGTGCGGAGATCAGTGAATGGATATTTCATGTACAATGCAAGAGAGGTGTCTATCTTCATTGGAATTCAGGATGTGAATTCCAATGAAGATGGCTTGTTTATAAGGAGAGAAGCAAGATAGATTGATGTAAACTTAATGACATCAGGGAATGTTTGCCTGTATTGTTTGAATGACACGGATATTGAATAACATGAAGTTAAGTGGAAAGAATGGCATAATATATTCGATTTGTACACCATCCTATTGAATTTTTTTTTTAAATAGCATTATATGATAACATTTGTGCACAGGTCTATGGAAAACCAGTAAGTGGCATATACAATAAGATCATTTACCGCAGCTCAAGGAATACCGTAGATATCACTTACCGCAGTTACTGCTATTTGTGCCCACATGCATATTAATATCAAACAGTTGAAGCTAAAACTAATATAATCTAATTAACAGGGTTTTTTTTCTCCAATTATCATAACAAGAGAGAAAAACATACTTTTATAATAACTTCCATTATTTATTTATTTGATCCACAAGACCGAGTAGTCCAGCCCTTGTGAAACTGTATGTTCTCCAGATTTCATTGTCAGGGCCTATCAGGGGGGGGGGGGGGCGGATCTAGCTTTTTGCTAAGGGGGGGGGGGGGGGTTGTCCCTATGACGATGCAGAGCATCGCCCACGAGCCGCATTGCGGCGAGGCGATTAATGCATTTATAAGATGGATTTTTAAATTTTTTTTCTCTCTCTCTCGCTGTCTCACTGCATTATAAATTTTTCATTTTCACGACATCAACATCTCTCACCATTAAACAGTTCTCTCATTTCCTTTCCTTTCTCTTTTGCTCTCTCTCTCTCTCTGAACTCTCACCTTCTGTTTCCAGATTTTTTCCACATATGATTCTATTTATCCAACCATATATGCACACTAAAAAGAAAAGATATGAAGGGAATACTGTATATAAGATAATAAACATGTTTAATTTATTCATTTTATTACAACAAACTAATATGTTTACAGATTATAACATTGATGGTCAAATATTAAGCACAAATGACCTCATCTGCTACTTCCATTTGTAGATTACTTTTTTCTTTAAAAATTCAACAAAGCATACTTAGGCTAAATCTGAGCACTATTTTTTTCTCCAGGGAATGTATTGTATCATGACCTGCACCCTTCTTTATAAAACACATTATAAAAACATTTCTTAAAAAAAAAAAAATACCAATGACTCAATGACTGCAATTTTTTCCAGAGAAACAATAATACTGTACAATAGTATATAACATCCTTTAGTGTGATGGTTACTCCGTGGTCCACACACGCACCAAGGTATATCAGACCTTTTATTAACAGTTGCTTGTTTTATACAATATATAAATCATACTCATAGGCCCATTCCCAAATGTTATAATTATTATCAATAAACAGAAATTGATAAAAGATGACCCCTCCCCAAAACTCTTATATTCCAAAAGTTTGATCTTGGCTGACAGGTGGTAACTTGAGTACTTGACTACATCTTATTTGCCCTATAGACACATACTTAAAATGGATGCCTTGGCAAAGCCTCAGTTTTATAAATGATTGCTTGACTTAGACTGCCGATGAACATATTTGTTGTGTATTTATCTACACCATTAACTTTTCTCCACATCATGCTGTCAGATTGAGATGCTTTAGTGTGATATACTTAATGTTTTACATCATGTTTTTAATGAACTCCTACCTTGCTTAGTTATGCAGACATTGGGCCCTTTTTTTAAAACTTGCGATAGCAGTGGAAAGGATGTGCATAAAAGAAGAGGCGGGATATCCATACTACTACCATGTACTACTACAACATGGGTAAAATTGCATCATTGTATTATACCTTGGTTCCTGGTTACCTCTCCTCGGTAGTTTGAAAACTATGTTTCAGTACCGGTAATCATTGTAATAGTGTTTCTGTTTCATGGTGTCACTGGTGTGGTTGTGTGTATGAAGGCCAAATTTTCTATTTTCCTGCTTCGCCTGTCCACAATTACTAAACAATTTGAGCTGAAATACAGGGCCTAATATACAAGGTGATTAAAAAATTGAACATACTGCTTGCAAGGTGAAGTTACACGTACTGCTTGAAGAGAATTGTGAATGATATTTATCTATTGGGAGTTTGACAAAATCCAGGTTCAAAAATTCAGCTTCGGAGGGGGGCACATTACCCCTCAACCCCCCCCCCCCCTGTGCGCGCTTTTGACTGATGTGTCCCCCCCAGGAGTGGCGGAGCGTCTTTCAAAGTGGGGGGGGGGGGCACCAACAAAATAGGCACTTTCTGGAAAAAAAGGGAATCTCAAAGCGAAAATATCCATTTTTTAGACAATGGTATATACCCCTACATTGTGATTACATTATCAGGGACGATTTCAACATTTGTTTCTCTTTATACACCATACATATATATCTTTAGTTCATGAATTAGTTGTTATGTGTAATTTTGTTGTATTAATATTGTAATTTTGTAAAGCGCATTGCTATTTTCTTCGAAGATGAAATGCGCTATATAAGTCTAGGTTATTATTATTATTATTATACAAGATATTGCAGTACAAAAAATTGCATCTTATTAAGAGGGAAAAACCCAATCCTGATGGGGTTATAAGCACATTCTCACAATGGAAGACTGAAAAGACCTTTAATAAGTAACGTAATTATATCATCTATAAATGCGAGCGAGCTTTGGGGGAAGTTACTCTTAGTCGCTTGAAATTAGGGGCGCGTTTAATGATGAGAGGAAAAGGGGACACTAAAGGGATAAGGGACATGTGTCATGTAAAAAGGGTAATTATCAGAGGTGAAAATGGGGCACTTCTTAGACCTACAGAAAGAGGCACTCACCAGGAATGAAAAAAGGCACTTATGAGAATGGGAATTCTCACGTGATTGGGAATACTTGATAACCCTATAGTCTAAGTTTCATTGACTAAAAACTTAAACTTTGAAAATTATATCAAAAATTCAAAAACTTAACCTTAGGTTAAGTTTTTGATGTTGACGCCGTCGCCGCCGCCGTCACCGGAAAAGCAGCGCCTATGTCTCACTTTTTGCTTGTAGGCGAGACAAAAAGGGAGGTGCAGATCAGATTTTAATAGGGGCATTTATTGGAGGTGAAAGGGGGCTATTCTGAAAACGGGGAAGTGGCTCTTATTAAAAAGGAAAAGAGGCACTATTAAAGTAAACAAGGCACTTATGAGAGATGAAAAGGGGTAATTATGAAAAGGGTAAGGGGTACTTATGATCAGAAAAAAGAGCATTTATTAGGAAGGAAAGGGGGCGTGTCAAATAAAAGTGGCAGTTATTAGAGACAAAATGGGACACTCATCAGAGATGAAAAGAGCACTAATCAGGAGATGGAGGGGGCACTTATCAAAAGTGAAAAGGGGCATTTCTCGTAGTTGAAAAGGGGCACTTACTAGAGATTAAAAAGGGCAGTTATGAGAATGGAAAATGAACACTTATTGCATAGAATAATGGGAACTTGTCGAAGGATAAGGGGCACTTATCAGAGGTGAAATGGGGAAGGGGCAATTTTACAAATTTATAGGGGAACTTGTCAAAGTAATATGGCACTTTACCTATGTGAAAAGGCCATAAAAGGGGCATACTGGGGGTACTTGAAAAAGTGGGGGGGGGCACTGACCCCTCCCCCCTGGCTAACATCATATCTCCGCCACTGGTTATGAAGTTTATAATACCAAGGTTTTGATACCCAGTCGCAGCTCCAGCAGTTCATTGAAGAGGCTAAGTAGAACTTCATAGTCCATACTGTACATGTATGTCTGTTGAATGAAAAGAGAAGAGAATGAAAGTAAAACATTGATACCTACTTCATACATGTATCTCTGTTGTAACATAAAAATGTCTTGCATGTACATTGTAGGCCTAGGCCTCAAATTTTTTCATGTGGAATCATACATAGCCATCCCATTAATACATACTTCTCAAACCAGCCCTTCGCATCCCCTCCAGCTTGGCCTTGACCTCACTCATTTCAAAATGTTGTTTTACTTGAAAAAAAATAAACAGATCAAGTTAGATCAAAAGTAAATATGTTTACCTTCTCTTGTGGTGGTCTGTTTTCTCCAGGACATTCTTGTTTCAAGCACATACTCCAAGAAAGCAAGCATTTGGTACTGCATGCATTAACTGCGACAAGTGTCTCTGTACATTTTCCTGTAAAAGAGAGGGGGGGGGGGGGAATTCAATTCTTAGAATAAAAGGAAATGAGCATGATCATTTAAACATTGATGAGCATTTGCAGAATTAACTGTTCTATTTTAATTTGGATTTTCTCTTTACCAAAAAAGCCCTCCTTCATCCTTCATCCAGATCTAGTTGATCTACAGTCTCTAGATGATCTAGATGCATGTCTCGTAACTGTTCATTTTATCAAATTGAAAAAACGCAAAAAAGGTATGGACCTAGATCTATATATGACA